TCCGTGTCCGGCAACGGATCGCAACCCTCAGTGTCGCCCCCGTACCGGACCGGGACCAGCAACGGGATCGCAACCCTCGGTGTTGCTCCCGCGCCTCGCTCAGCCAGTGAGCAGGAACCGGTCTGTAGGTGGGATCCGAACCCTCGGGCGGGAGTGCCTCCGCGCTTCCCAAGCGGCGCACTATCCAGTGCGCCACCGGGCCGGCCCTAACATTGTTTTGTTTTGAGGTGTGCGTGTGTGTTTGCAGTAATTTTTCCATTTCTACCAAGGAATAAGATGGTTTTCCATTTAAGCAATGATATAAATTTTTCCTTTCTAAATTCATGTAAAAATTGAGAGTTCATTTAAAGAAAAAAATGGAAAATTTATTTATTTACATACATAATAATGCACGTGGAATGCAGATATGGCAAAAATAATGACAAAGTTATACAAATAACTAATGTTGGGAAACATTTACCTGGGGATATAAGGACCTATAGAGTTTGAAATCCTAGAATATTTAGACCAGAAGCCTTAAGAATTGTAGAGGTGAGAGAACACTCCCTCTCGTTGAGGTTCTTTGGGTCTGAGAAATAAAGTTATAATAGACCAATTGACTGGAGAAAAGGCACACAAATTTATCAGGTGCACAGGGTATCAAAGGAAAGTGAATACCCAATTACCCAGTGAAATCTAAAAGCTTATATACTTTCTTCAGAGGGGAGAGCGGAGGGGGAATGTAGACACCTAGGTAGAGTAAATTATTTGGAGAAAAATGAATGGGTCTTTGGAAAACAGAATAGTCTGTATGGGCTGCAGGTCTTGGCCTTCAGTCTCTTCCGTGGTGTGTTAATCTTCCCTGATTGATAAAAATTCTCTGGGAGGGGATTCATAACAATTGAATTTCTTCTGAATCATTGGTCTTTAGTCTGATAAGCAAAATTCAGGAAAAGCCTCTCTGTGCCTTTGCTGTTCCCCAAATATCCTCATGGAAGTAATCTTCATACCAATGTGGCATATTTGGGGGATGTTATTTCCAAGATTCCTTCAAAATATGTTCCAAATTCATGTAGCCCTTAAAATTCTTGCTTCTTCCTGTCTGGGTATTGCTGGACTGGTCTGAAGACAGCTGAGACTGTGATAAAGCCCATCAATCAAATTCTACCAGGAACACACCTGTAGTCAAAAAGTCAAACACAGCTGGTTCAATAAGGGAGAAGGCACAACAGTGAAACCATAAGGTGTCTTGGTAAGAGGTAATTGGGAAGTAAGAGGTAATTGGGGAGAGCTTATTTTAGGATTTGGATTTGTGCTCGGTAACTCTAAGGAAGGTTTTAAGGAAGTGGGCGACAGTTTCAGATTGGACACAGTCAAGAAGCAGGGCAATTCAGTGATTAGGTATCTTAATAATTTTTATCCAGGAGGCAGGAGGATTAAAGTAAGGCTAGATTTGTCATTAAAAAAGAAGCAGGACCCACTCATGTTAGTCAGAAGAAGAGGAGGTTGAGTCATATTTATGGTGCCACAGTGGCCCTGTCTCTGTCTTGTTCCAACTATAGAGTGTTTTTGTCTGATGTTTGTTTATATTCTGTGATCACTGTTTTTGTTCAGGTAGGAATGTATAGTCTAGCTGCCCGCTGAACAGTTTTTCATTTTTTTAGCCTGCAAGCAATCATCCTTCTAAATGTGGGATGCTGCCTATCTCTTAGTGGTTCTGGCCCTAAATGTGTAAAAATGTCTCCTCTAGTTGGCAAAGTGGGGGAGAGCAGATCTTTGAGATCATCTACTCCAATTTCCCATCTCATGCAGGAACCCCTCAGCAACATCTCTTCTACGGTAGGGAACTCACTGCCACCCAAAACAGCTCCTCCCACACTTACATGTCCATTGTCAAACCCAGGTTGTTTTTCCTCCATATATTGTTTGAAAGAATAATACATGTACTTAGTTAAAAAAAAAAAAAATACTGCATAGAAGAGCCATCTCATACTTCCCCCCGCATCTTCCAGATGTCCTTCCAGAGTTCATACGTGTATATGTCCACATTATAGGTGTTATGTATCACTCCTTTTTACAGGTGGTAGCATTCCAACCACATGATATTGCACATTGCTTTTTTTCACTTAACTTATTCATTTATTCAATAAATATTTACCAAGCTTTTACTATGAACCAGGCACTGTTCCAAGTGATGGGAAAAGAGCAGGGAACAAAACAAAGTGCCTGCCCTTAAAAGAGCTTATGCTGTAGCGAAAACAGACAAGCAATAAACAAATATACAACAACAACAACAACAAAATCAGACACTGTGAAGAGACGTGAAGAAAAAGAAAGGAGAAAAGAATATAGAGTTCATGGGGGTCTGCTAATTTAAAGAGTAGTCAGGGCAGGTCTTTTTGAGGATGGGGCACTGGAGCAGAGACAAGAAGGAAATGAGGAAGCAAGCCATAGAGATATCTGGAGGAAGAGTGGTCCCCACATGGAACAGCAAGGGTAAAGGCCCTTAGACAGAAAGAAGCATGCTTGACTTAAAAACCAAAAAGCCAGAGTGGCTGGAGCATAGACAAGAGGGAAAATGGCAAAAGATGATGTTGGACAGGTATCCAGGAAGCAGTTCACTTAGGGGCTTGTTGACTACAACAACAACTCAGATTTTATTCTGAATGGGATGGGAAAGCTGTTGGAAGGTTTTGTGCAGGGGGACATAATCATGCTTACAGTTTAAAAGGATTATTCTGGCTGCTGGTTGGGGTATAGACTGGGGCAGAGTTGTGGTAGAGTTGGTGGGTAATTGTAGAAGCAAAGGCAGGACTAGTTAGGAAACTATTACTGTACAACAGCTTGAAGATATGTCTGTACTTAAACTGTATCTACATCTACCTTGGTCCCTCTTAAATCTTGCTACGGTAATCTATTTTATGGTTGTACCACGGTTTATTTTTACTAAGTCCCCTACTGATGGACATTTAGACTGATACTAAACCTTTTGCTTTTACAAACAACAGAGTAATGAATATCCTTTGTGGTTAGGTTCCAGTACGTCTGCAGATTATTCCAAAAAGTGTAATTGCTGGTCACAAGTTAAATTATTTCCCACATTTAAATTAAAACTG